ACTCACTCAATCTTGTGGTCCACCCCTGGCCCTCGATGCGGTGGAAGCTTTTCTGCTTGCTTCGGGTTAAAGAGCTCATAGAACTCCTGGTACTGCGTTGGTAGCAGCGCTCGTACGTCCACGGGCTTCTTTGGTTGTAACGCTTTGTCGATATCCGCGATCGACGCGGCGAAGATCTGAACGCTATTCGGAGCGCTCTTGTGTCGGCGAAGTAGCGCTGCGAATGCGGCGGCGTTCACGCGTCGGACTCCTCCTTGTAGGGTCCCCTCTGTTGATCGCACTCGAATGCCTTTCGAGTGGATAAAGATGCTCTTCTTCGCGGGGGCTATCGTCACATCGCGGTGATCCATCCACCCCCTTCCTAGGTAGACGTCCTCGCCAGAGGACAAATCCATTACATATGCATAGGCAGACTCTTCGTACCCATGCAGCTTAAACGAGAATCGGGCGACCTCGTTGATCTCCGACAGCTTACCGTTCACTCCCTCAATTATTCGGGTAGGGATCTGAAAGCGCTCTAGACAGTGGCGGTAAGCGAACTTTCTATCAATTAGTGCGTAGCAGAGACATCCACAATCGATTAGTGCCGTAGCGTTAACTACGTTGTTTATAATCAGATCTATAGTAATTGGCGGGGGACGCATGTGCTTTCGCTGAAATTGACTCCATTCGCTACTTGTCTGCCAATCCATCTTCAGAGGCTCTAAGCCGAGACTCTGGCTTAGAGCTCCTCTTTTCCCGAGTCGCTGTTGGCTAGGTCCTCAGCCTCTTCTGGCTGCTTCCGTTTTTCGCTCTTAGGGAGGGCTCTAGCTCTCTCGACCCGAACGTTGTTCGGACAGTTCCTGGCTAGATGACCCGGCTCTCCACAGCTATAGCAGTCCCGCGGAGGTCGTCTTGGCCTACTCGTCTTCTCTCGTGCTCGATTGACTCTTGAGGGTTCCCAGTCCATCGCTTCTGGGCTATTCTCTCGCCGGGTAGCTTTTGGAGATGCTTGCGCGTGATTATAGGCTACGTTCCGTCGGTTCCTCCCATGCAGTTGGATCCGATACAGGTCGTCGGAAAGCTCGATTGCCTTGTCCATATACTCCTTTAAACTCCCATTCTTAGGGGTATGGAGCATTAGCTTCTGGAGTTCCTCTCCGAGTCCTTCGCTGAACATCTCACGAGCTACTGCTGGACTGAACGTCTGTCGGGACTCTACGCGGAGTTGATTAAACTCCGAGACGTAGTCGCGTATTGGGCGTCGTCCTTGCTTTAGGTGTCGAAGCTTATTCAGAGCTCGCTGCTGCTGGTGGACGTCTTGGAAGTGAGTATCCATATGCTCCCATAGTCCGGCGGTCGTTCGCTCCTTATTCTCAAGCACCCAGGGAAGAAGGACCTGGTTTGCCTTATCCTTCGTTCGGCTAAGCACGTATCGAACCTTCGAGTCCTCCGTTGGGAACATAGCAACGTCGTATTCTAGCTTCCCTTCGCATTCGAACTTCCAGCCTGGGTAGTTCTCACGGGTCCCATCGAAACGTTCTGGGTCTGGGAACTTGTTCTTGCGGGCCGTTGGCTCGGCAGTTGTTGTCAGCGGTAGTGGTGGGGTATTGACTCCTAAGGAGGCTTCCGAGCGTCCTTCGGCTTGGTTCCGTTCGAGTGCCTCTAAACGACTAACCATCGGGCCAAGGAGTCGCATCATCTGCTCCATCATCTGAACTGTGGCGCTCTGGTCGCTCTTCGGTGAGCTCTTTTGCCTTGGCGGGCTTCTCTCTCCTACCACCGTTGACCGTTTTACAACTGCTTCAATTGTTGGGCCAATCGCTGCCTCCTTCCACCCGTCCTCTCTCAGCATTTGTGTGATCTCACGCAGGATCTCTTCGTCCGAGACTCCTGCCTGGCTCTTAGCGGTAGCGTACGCCGCTAGCTCTTCTACGTTCAAGTTGGGAACGTTAATCTCCATCGTACTGTTCTTAGGGGGTTCTAAGGAAACTTTATCGAGTACCCCCTTATCGTCGCGTGTGGCTTCTGATCGTCTCTTGATCTGCTCGCGCAGTCCCGGACTGCGGCCTACTCCTCGTCGGCGAGGACTGGTAGGGCTTACCTTCGGCTGTCCTTATTACCAGCCGGAATCTAAATAGCGCTCTATCGCTGTTGCGTCGCGTCCCTAGGAAGACTCGCGTCTTGCCGTCTCGCTCGTGGGATCCCGTCTCCGATTGAGAGTAATCGCACGGCCTGCACCTCGTCCGATAGAGGATTGACAGGACTTTCTCACTACAACGTCCGCTTCTAGCTAACTGTACGCTAGGCCCGAGTGGCCTTCAGGTAGTTTATTACGCGACGTTGCGCCTACGGCTCGGCTTTCCAAGACACGGTAGGGCTTCTGACAGGTCCTGGGCGACTCTTTCGCCTACTGTCTCTCACGGCTAAGCTTCCTGCGAAGCTCTGCTCTAGGTGTACTATCTTGCGACGGTCCACCTACTCGCTGCGCTAAGGCCTTTCGTACCTATTGCAGCACCAACTCCGTGTTACTAGCTTATGCTAATAGCACGTTCTGAAGCTTAGTCAGAAGACAGTCCGCCTAAGGCTTGTGTCTAATTGGGATCGAATACAAAATGTAAGGGGCTGCGCTCTGGGGAGCAATCGCGAGGTATACAAGAGGTTGTATTCGATGAGGAGCTAAGCTCCCAAGCTACGTAGCTGTCTATATACAAGCTGGTTACCCGAGTAACAATCGGACCGGTGAAGTCTAGGTGCACGAGGCAGCTTCTGGGTCCTGCGGCTGTCGTCTGAACGTCGTTCGGGCGGTGCGCAGAGAATCCGGGTGCTCGAGACAGCACCCGGGTTCTGCGAGTAGGCCGAGATTCCATCGAGGAGCTATCCAAAGGGCGTTCAGCCCGTTACATAGAGAGCTGAGAAGAAGAAGAAGAAGAAGAAGAAGAAGAAGAAGAAGAAGATAGACGACGAATAGGAACGAGGTATTCGGCAACGGGCAGATTAACGCTGCTGTCTTGTAACTTGCTTACTACCATATAATATGCGATGGACAAGGCCACGAGTAAAAGAGTTTTTTAACTTTTATTATCGCGAGATGTATATCAGATT